TTTAAACTCGGTTCAAGCTAAATTCTCTGCCCCTAAGCCTGTGGCGACATGTGATCGTTCGCTTCACTGCGCGCGAGGTACGCGTCGCTGGTTTTTTTTCTAATGGCTAGCAGAGGAGAATTATATATATAGATTATATAGCGGTCTAAAATGCTCAATAAAATGTTTCCATTGATCAATTTAGTAATAATAACAATTGAATATTCAATGGTCATCCAAAAGAAAGCTTCCCTGAAAATTTCAGCGCGCTAGCTAACTGGGAAGTGCCAGAAATTTCGATCGCAAGATTTGATTGGAAAGACAAACAAACAGAGAAAGCAAGTTAAAGAAAACGTGGGAAAAATAGAATAAAATCTCGTAGACAAATGAATTGCACACCAAGTGAACGCTAAATAAAAAAGTGCTTAATAGTGCGCAATATTATTAGTACTTTAAAAATTTACATTAGTTTTTTGAGAAATCGGAAGTAGCGTAAATTACTACTTCCGGTCAACGGAAATTACTCAAAATTTGACAGAACGTAGAGAATTAGATCTTATACTTACATGTGAAATTTCATTTATCTATCTGAAATAGTACTCAAGTTATAGGCTTTTAAAAAATTCAAAGTAGAAAAAGTACCACTTCCGGTTATCGGAAATCGCTCAAAAGTTGATACGGATCTACGATTTTGATAAAATACTTATATATGAAATTTCATCAACCTAGCTGTAACGGTACTCAAGTTATCGTGTTTACACACGGACAGACACACACACAGACACACAGACATAGGGACAGAGTTGCAAATCCCAGTTTTGCAGACTGGATTACGCACAAAACCTCTTAATTTTGATAAATCTGGATTGATAATTTTTGCCCGATTAAAATAAGTCCTCTATACTTCGGATGTGATGAAGGACTGAGGTGTAATACGGTGAAAATTGTTAAAATTTCAAGTGATTTTTGTGCACGATTACAATACTTTCTCTATACTTCGTATATACGAGAAAGTAAAAAGACATGATGTAGTTGGTGGAAGCTATTTTATACCGGCTGATATCGATATGAAAAAGCCCCGAAGTATTTGGTGAAAACGATATCGATATGAAAATACCATAATGTGTTTAGTGGAAACCTATTTTATACCGAGTGTTATCGATATGTAAAAGACATAATGTTGTTGGTGGAAAGCTATTCTATACAGGGTTATATCGATATGAAAAAGCCATGATGTAGTTAGTGGAAACCTATTTTATACCCGGTGATATCGATACGAAAAAGCAAATAATGGAAATCCATTTTATACAGGGTCATATCGATATGAAAAAAACCATAATAAAAAGCCATGTTATCTCTCATGTAATCGATGAATCACTTGTGTTACCTCTCGTGTGCCCGCTAGGAATTCGTGCATCATATTTTTTTACCCGCGCCTCTGTTTTGTGTCTAGTTTAAAGTCAACAATCTGCCTGACTAATTGGCCCATTAAATACATTTCAATATTATCCCCGCTCCCCCGTCGCTCTCATGTGGAATACATCACTTAAAGCTTCATTTATTTTATTTGTTTCGTTGCGTTGCGTTAATTTATCGAGCGAGTGGGGATTTTTCAATCTCCCCACGTTTCGAGCCGGTTACTTGATTTGTTTGGAAGGTCATTACATATTGGGTTTTTTTTATTGTCTTTCAAACACTTGTCCCAATTGTTGATCTAGAAAAAAAAGATGGTTTTTATTTTATTTTCCAGACAGTTAAGAACCAGCTACTTGATTTGTTTGGAAGGTCAATATTGTTGATATAGAGAAAAAAAATGTTTTTATTTTACTGGTAAAATGCACTTTACAACTGAATGTTTATAGATTATGAAGTAGTGCATCTGTTTATTTGAATTGGGTTAAAGAATGAAACGTCTTGTCAAGAATACACCTAGCCGAATTGACTTCCCACCACATGCGTTAAATACATATCTCAGTTGGCTTGTGATAATGAAAAGAACTTTTTAATTAATTCGTTGATTCGTTGCATAAACAGACTTTCATTTAAAAAAGTCAATAGAAACTATCAAGGAAGATCTGTAATTTATTTAATGTAAATTGTGAACGAACAATCTATATTACAACATAAAGAACATAAGAATTAAACGATTATAAGTTTTACGAAATGCAGCGAGACTTGCCGCATTATTAACTAAAAACTATACGTTATGTATTGTATACCAGTAGCTTCTAAACAAATGATGTTGAGCAGAAAATTATATACCATTATGTTAGTTGTTTTTTTTTTAAATCTCGAGCTTCACATCGTGGTTGGTAGGTGACCTTGGTTATAACGTGTGTCAGGTACCCATCAGAGATATAAGTGGACTCAGTGACGTTCTACGGACTTAAGTCCTGGGTCTTGACTCGAGACTTTCTGGTTAGTGGTCATACGCTCTAACCTCCGACCAGGCTGTTCCTTACACAATTATGAATAATTATTGTACAAGTAATTGTGTACTTTCTTTTCTGTACAGATAATTATATTACATTTTTCACTTTAAATAAAGTCACGCAGTATTCTATACCTAAGAGAAAACGACAGCTCCACATGTTTAGAATTAAAATAAATGTTGATCTACAATCCTACAAAAAATTCAACTCCAAAGTTGGCAACCCAAGTCTACTGTAATACATCTAATATTGATATTTTCTTCCCCGGCAAAAACAACACTCTTGTCATGCAATCCTTTTTTTTTACCCCGCCTCCCATACAATCTTAATTAGGCTTTAAAACCCGTCAGACGCGCGCTCCAAGATTAACATCTTTGAGTCTCTGCACACCACAACGGCCTAGTGCGCAGCACTCGGCGTTTTTTTTTAGCGTGCTTCTTGGTGCAGTATTGCCGGGCATGTCCCTAGAGGCGTCAACACATTGCACACTTCTCAATCTCCAGCAGTTGGAGACACGGACAAATTGTATTCGCTCCGAGACTGCAATATTGGTTTTATTTGGTTAGCGTTTCTTTATGGTCTCTCTTTATGTGTGTCTTTACGGAGAGTATGTCATACAAATATTATGTGTGTATGAATTGTATGAATATATTTGTGTCTGTATATATAGAATAAAAATATAGGTTATATATATATATATATATATATATATATATATATATATATATATATATATATATATATATATATATATATATATATATATATATATATATAGTTCTTATGCGTGTGAAACATCTCCCTGCTTGTAAATGCAAATAGGCGCCTGTTATCGGTAATTTAAACTGCAGATAATTAGGAAGTTTTTGGCTTATTTGCATACAATGTATTTCCTTTAGAGTGCAGCTAAACTACAATTACGGAAACAGTCTAGTAATTTTCTTCTTTCCCATCGGAGCAGTTGCAATTATTTTCGGTATACTGGTTATTGCAAAATAATTTGTTATTAAAGATTGTCTGATCGTCAAAAAGATCCATGAAAGTGAAGAAGATCTATTGAAGTGTGAAGGTATCTAGTAATTGATTGAAAATAGCTGGGGATTAATGTATAGTCTGTGTGTTTTCATGTAACATTAATCCCCCTCAACTTCATAACATTAATCCTGTCATCTTCTTTACATAAATTCTCCCACCCTAACATTAATCCTCTCACCTACCACTAATCCTCTCACCTTACAACTAATCCTCTCACCTTAACATTAATCCCCTCTCACCTAACATAAATCATCTCACTGAACATTAATCCCCTCACCTTAATATTAATCCTCTCACCTTCCTAACATTAATCCTCTCACTACCTACCACTAATCCTCTCAAATTAACATGAAACCTCTCACCTAACATTAATCCTCTCACCTAACATTAATCCTCTCACCTAACATTAATCCTCTCACCTAACATTAATCCTCTCACCTTCCTAACATTAATCCTCTCACCTAACATTAATCCTCTCACCTAAACATTAATCCTCTCACCCAACATTAATCCTCTCACCTAACATTAATCCTCTCACCTTCCTAACATTAATCCTCTCACCTAACATTAATCCTCTCACCTGAACATTAATCCTCTCACCCAACATTAATCCTCTCACCTAACATTAATCCTCTCACCTTCCTAACATTAATCCTCTCACCTAACATTAATCCTCTCACCTGAACATTAATCCTCTCACCCAACATTAATCCTCTCACCTAACATTAATCCTCTCACCTTCCTAACATTAATCCTCTCACTACCTACCACTAATCCTCTCAAATTAACATGAAACCTCTCACCTAACATTAATCCTCTCACCTTCCTAACATTAATCCTCTCACCTAACATTAATCCTCTCACCTAACATTAATCCTCTCACCTAACATTAATCCTCTCACCTAACATTAATCCTCTCACCCAACATTAATCCTCTCACCTAACATTAATCCTCTCACCTAACATTAATCCTCTCACCTAACATTAATCCTCTCACCTTCCTAACATTAATCCTCTCACCTAAAATTAATCCTCTCACCTTCCTAACATTAATCCTCTCACCTAACATTAATCCTCTCACCTTCCTAACATTAATCCTCTCACCTTCCATTAATCCTCTCACCCAACATTAATCCTCTCACCTAACATTAATCCTCTCACCTTCCTAACATTAATCCTCTCACCTAACATTAATCATCTAACCTTCCTAACATTAATCCTCTCACCTAACATTAATCCTCTCACCTTCCTAACATTAATCCTCTCACCTAACATTAATCCTCTCACCTAACATTAATCCTCTCACCTAACATTAATCCTCTCACCTTCCTAACATTAATCCTCTCACCTAACATTAATCCTCTCACTACTTACCACTAATCCTCTCAAATTAACATGAAACCTCTCACCTGAACATTGATCCTCTCACCCAACATTAATCCTCTCACCTAACATTAATCCTCTCACCTAACATGAAACCTCTCACCTAACATTAATCCTCTCACCTAACATTAATCCTCTCACCTAACATTAATCCTCTCACCTTCCCACCAGTGCCTTGCTGTCCACAAGTATCTACGGATTAACTGGCCAGCTCAGTTTTGATAACGACGGGTTTATGAACATTAGCAAGTTTCGCATGCGGAACCTGGTCTTTGACGGACGGCAGAGCGTCTGGCAGGATATCGGCTGTGTCCACGGGAAGGATGTCCGGCCTTTTGGCATCATCTGGCCAGGGGACGCACAGAGTATGCAGGTAAGGTCATGTCTGGGAGAACTCACTAGCTCCCCCACCTCTAGAAGCATTGAGCCTCATTGGATCATAATTCTCACCGTGCAGTGTAATGTTTTGTAGTTAACTGCTCGCACTAAGTTATAATCAGCCGAGTGAGATTTTTAGGAAGCTTGACGCAAAATTGGCTAGAAAATTAAAACCAACAATGATAAATAATAGTAGGGTTGATTGGAGGGACTAAACCTGTGTTTGATTTACTTGTATGGTCTCATCAGACCTTCTGAACTGCAACTGAATCATAAATTATAATTATGTATTAGCCTATATATATATACATATATATATATATATATATATATATATATATATATATATATATATATATATATATATATATATATATATATATATATATATATATATATATATATTGCTTTAATGAATTTAATAAGTAGGCTTGGTATGTTTCAAAAATTACTGTGTAAGGCTAATACGAGTGCACCACTTTTACTGTGCTTAATCTACTCGTGAACAAGATTAGGCTAACGGAGTGATCGCTCCTTATAACACTGAACTCTGCTGATTGCGTTGACATGTGTGTTAACCAGGTTATTCCAGATTTGCATTCATTTATTAGCTTTAGCGTATAAAAATAAGGGCTAATTTTTTTTTCATTCCTTACAGACAGACACAGACGGCCGTAAGCGGTACAGGGTCGTGACCAACCCGGTCCAGCCGTTTGTGATGACGGAAGCCCCGCACCCGGACTACGGGACCTGCCTGAGCGACACGCTGTGTCTGAACCTGACCAACAAGGTGAAGGACAAGGACGTCGTCCTGGAGGCCATCCGGGCCTTCGAGGAGGGCAACAGCTCCAAGCAGCACCTGTACACGGTCCAGTGCTGCCGGGGGCTGTCCATCGACCTGCTCAACAAGCTCGCCTCCGACCTGGACTTCGACTTCACGCTCTACATCGTCCAGGACGAGACGTACGGCCGGATGAACGAGTCCTGGGACGGCATGATCAGGGACCTCATCGACAACACAGCCCACTTCGCCGTGGCCGCCTTCTCCATCACTAGCCAGCGCGAGCGGGCCATAGATTTCACGGAGCCGTACTTCTTCTCCGGGTTCTCCATCATCTACTCGGACCGGACCCGCGAGACGAGCATGCTGGCCTTCCTCGAGCCTTTCTCCACCCGGGTGTGGTTCGCCATCCTCGTCTCTGCCCACATCACCGCCGTCTGCATGGCACTCTTTGAATGGAACTCCCCCTTCGGGCTCAACCCCTGGGGCCGCAAGCGCACCAAAAATTACTCCCTGGCTTCCGGGTTGACTATGGTGTTTTCGGTGCTCTTCGGCCACACGGTGAAGACCAAGTCCCCCAAAGCGTGGCCTTCGAAAGTGATGCAGAACTTTTGGGCGTTCGCCGCCATTTTTATTATTGCCAGTTACACGGCGAACTTAGCGGCCTTCATCGCCGGCAAGCACGCTGGGATTAACTACATGGATATATACGATCCACGGGTAGGCTTTGTGTTTTAAAATTCGTTGAGTTTACCATAGGCTTTTTGTTTTAAAATACACTGAGTCAGAGTTGTAGCCAAGGGGGGGGTTACATATTTCCCCGGGCGCCGCCCTTAGCGGGCGCCAAAATGGGTTGTAAAAACAAATTAAAATCTCATTTTAGCTGCAGTTTTGCATTATAAATATAAAAAAATATATCCGGGGGGGGGGGTGCAAATTGAAAGTTTGAGAGGGGGTGTAAATTGAAAATTGAAAGGTTGATCCCGAGGGGGGCGCCAAATTGAAAGTTTGTCCCCGGGCGACGGGAAGGGTCGCTTCACCTCTGCATTGACTTAAAGTACCATAGGTTTTTTTTGTTTTAAAATTCCATTGAGTTAAAGTACCATAGGCTTTTTGTTTTAAAATTCCATTGAGTTAAAGTACCATAGGCTTTTTGTTTTGAAATTCCATTAAGTTAAAGTATAATAGGCTTTTTGTTTTAAAATTCCATTGAGTTAAAGTACCACAGGCTTTTTGCTTTAAAATTCCATTGAGTTAAAGTACCACAGGCTTTTTGCTTTAAAATTCCATTGAGTTAAAGTACCATATCACGGGTTAAGGGTTAGTGTGGCTTACGATTAAAAGCTTTGTCTGATTATTAAGTTAGTGTTAAAGTACAATCATAGGACTGGGTGGTTAGATGATAGAGCGCATGACAGCTAACATGAAAGTCTCGAGTTCGGATTACGGACTCAAGTCCTTAAGATGCTCGTTAGTCAATCCATCTCTAATGGATACCTGACTTATGTTAGAGAAAGTAAAGGCGACCGGTCATAGTGTTGACCACACTATCCCACACTATACCGAGGCCACAGAAACAAGAAAACTCTACTTCATCAGCCCCATAGAACGCCAGCTTCGCTTATATTACACTCTTTATGAAAGGGGGGGGGGGGGGTTATCGGCTAAAATGAGAGTTGTGTTTAAGACAAAGACTAGATTTATGATTCAGTTCTTGGGTTATCTACTTGAGTATTGACTTCTCTCTTCTAGTGGAGTACGAGTTACCCAGCATTGTCACTTTTAATTACCCCCTTTGTTGAAGCAATACGCTTAATACACATATCAACAGCTTTTAACTGTTTCAAGTCGTTTAACACTGGCCCAATGTGTTGCTGTGTTTTTCTTCATCGTTTATCATAGTTAAGCAAACCAGGAACGGGGAGGTGATGATAAGCCCCGGCCACCGGGGCATTAATATCTATTTGGTGTTGTGTTCTCTCGGGCGTCCGTGCCGCTGTCAACGTGTCATCAAGCAGGGTCACGTGTTTCCTGTCCTACTTGTTCCCTGCCCCCCGTCCAGCTCCACCCCCCCCCCCCCCCGCCCGTGTCGTGATGGCCTGATGGATGCGTGTATTATCTCGCCGAGGATGGCTGACTGACCCCCACGTCCCCTGGCTGACTGACCCCCCCCCCCCCCCCACCTCCGACGGCTCATCGATTCTACGCTTTGTTTGTTTGTTGGTCGGATGGGGGGTGGGGGGGGGGTCGGATCCGCGTCTATTCCTACACCACCAAACGTCTAAACGCCTTCTTGTTTTCAACTAGATATTTGTCCAAAAATAGGTGGGGGGGGGGGGGGGTCGGATGGGGGGTGGGGGTGGGGGGGGGGTCGGATCCGCGTCTATTCCTATACCACCAAAAGTCTACACGCCTTCTTGTTTTCAACTAGATATTTGTCCAAAAAAAAGGTGGGGGTCGGAGGGGGGGTCGGGTCCGCGGCTATTCCTAGACCAGATTTTTGTCAAAGAAGGGGAGAGCATATTCCTTCACTAGATATTCATTCATCGAGTTTCACGGAGGAGTGGTGCGGGGGGGGGGGGGGGGGGGGTAAGCATCAATTTCCAAAGCAGATATTAAAACGGCTTGTTTTTTTTCGAGTAGAAGTGTGACGCCGTATCTATTCCTAGGCCAGTTGTCAAGCGCCGCATTTTTTACCAAGTCGACCCGTGTAATCAATGCCTAGCTAATTAATTAGTTTGCAGTGATTGTAGGCTGGCGTGGAACAGCTGCCTTTGTGGTAGTTAGAACACCGAGAAGAGCTACTCGAAAGGCTAGTTAAAGAACATGTTGTGATGAGTATTTTACGGGAAATGTTCTTCAAACCTGTCTGCAGAAGTTAGGTCTAGAGCATTACCTCCCTCCCACCCTCAACTACCCCCGGTCATTTCCCCCGTCATTACTTCCCTGATCAATTACCCCCTGTCAATTACCCCACACAGCATACTCTCCCCCCTTGGGTAATTACCCCCCTTTATTAAACCAATAGTTAATGCTTACACTTAGCCTAAACCTATGCCTATATATAACCTTATCCTTAATCTAACCCTAATTTGTTTTCGATACCGTTTGTCTATCCCAGGGGTCTCCAAACTACGGCCCGCGGGTCGGATGCGGCCCGCGAGGTCCTCTCATCCGGCCCGCGGGTTTTTTTTTACCACGGAAGGGCGGGTAGGTTTTTATAAGCTTTTGCACAAGGAAGACTTTCCTAATATTAAGACTTTTGCATCAAAGTACCTTTCAAATTTTGGAACAAGTTACCTGTGTGAAGAAACATTTTCAAGAATGAAATACGTGAAGAATAATTTGAGAGCAAACGTGGACCTCGAGTGTGTTGTTGGCCACCGGCAGTGTTTCTTTCAGACTTTTTCCTCCGGAGGGACGACACTTGAAATGTGTATATATTTCTATATAAATTATATTTCGTGGGGGGGGGGGGGGGGGGGGGGCGGTAGACGTTATTCGGGGGGGGGGGAGGGGGGAGGGGGGGCGACACCACCCCCGAAGAGATGCTTTGAAGAAACTCTGCCCCCCGAACTGATATTTGATAATTAATGCGGCCCTCGGGCTGAAAAGTTTGGAGACCCCTGGTCTATCCATTTCCGTATTTCTATGTGATCAGGGGGTAATTGGTCATGGGGGTTATGACGGGGAAAATGACCGGGGGGGGGGATAATTGACTGGGCAATGACTAGCTTCCTTCACGGATACACATTCTCTAGCTTTGGTATCTGATAGAATGAAGTAGTTAATAGCACAAAGTTTTTGTCGGTACAGAAAAGTATTTTCTGGTCCTAACCTGCTAATTAAACCACCTATGTTCACTTATCCTAACCTGCTAATTAAACCACCTATGTTCACTTATCCTAACCTGCTAATTAAACCACCTATGTTCACTAATCCTAACCTGCTAATTAAACCACCTATGTTCACTTATCCTAACCTGCTAATTAAACCACCTATGTTCACTAAT